GCAGTTTTTATTTAAAAATTTCCCCCTCTTTTCTTTTCCCCAAAATATTATATTATCCCTACAAGAACACTGTAGTTTGTACCGGAAGGGACACTAACTTGCTAGCTAAACAAGTGACTATTTTTCTTATGCTACCTTCGCTTCAAACGTAGATCGCGTAGATGTATGCAAAATTGTGTTATCACAAAAGTATTACATTTTAGCAGCGTATACATATAAAAATACACATATACACGCATGTATGCATCATTGATGGTTGTAATAGAAATCATTACTACAGGATTACATATGTACATATGTACGTCTAATAGGGTAGTTTTGTTGGGCACTACTTTGTCATGTTATAGCTGCCAACTTTAACCACTAAAAGAAGAAAATTTTCCCCTTTTTTTCTTTAATTATTTTTACAAATTTTCTTTAATTATTTTAAACTTTATACTTGGGTTAACTATTTCGTTGGGCGCCACTTTGTCATGATATACATGGCGACCAACTTTAATCAAAAGGAAAAAATTTCCCTTCTTTTCTTTAATTAATTTTTTTTTCTTTAAAAACAAATTTTCTTTAATTAATTCACAAATTAGTACAAGATTTTTTATGAGGTCACTTCGCGTTGGGCGCCACTTTGTCATGTGTTATAGCTGGCGACCAACTTTAATCAAAAATTGAAAAAACTTTATACACCTTGTAGTGTGTGGGCTTCACGTTGGACGCCACTTTGTCATGTTATATGGAGACCAACGTCTATTACACCTAAATACTTATGAAGGCTGAATTTAAATTATTTATCCGAGTTACCGGCCCCACGTTGGGCGCCACTTTGTCGTGAGACTCGTTACTTTCATTGCCGGCTGAGTATTTGTCTTTTTCTGACAAAGAAATAAAAATAAAATAAAAAGAAAAGTCCCATCGGTTGTCTGCCGTCTGTCTGTCCACTGTAAGTCAGTCGGTCGTCGTCTGGCGTCGGTCCTACATATGCACACCCCCTTTCTCCTTTCAGCTACAGCGGTAGCAGCTGTAGCGCTTAACTACTCATCGGGGACACAAAACAACAGGGGAATAAATAACTAAAGTAACTTACAATACAATCCTCTCGCGATGTCGTGGCTGTCTCCTTCGGCGGCTCCTGTCCACGGCAAGGAAGTGGGAAGTTCGTCTTACGTCGTCGGCACAATCACAACACAGCTGGGATGTAGGTGCATGTGGGTGCACGTAATTCATAAGCTACTGGAAAAGTATTCTTCTTCCTCTTAACACATTTTGATTGAGGCAAACACATTGATCCTTGTTTTTTTTTCTTTTGTTTTTTTTCGATCATTTATTAAACGCACGAATAAAAGATAAAATGTAATAATAGTTCAGGTGCACATCAGTGCTACAATCAAGGCATTTAGGTAGACATTTTTTTGTTTCACAATCATTTGTTTATACATGTCAGATTCGCTTATGGAATTAAGCAGAATTCTAAATTTTTCATAACTTATTGGAGTGTATTTTTTTTCTTTACAATTTATTAAATGCGCTTGGCTATTTCTTTTTATTATAAAACATTGTTCTGCTAAAACTTTCCACAATACTTCATTAATACTTCGCAACCATTTGTTTATGAAGGTCATCTTTAACCAATAATCTTCCACGTTATTCACTTGATAAGAAAACCTTTTGCTTCTTGTTCGACAAAAAAACATATTCAAAGAACGGTGCAGCCATTACCCTTGCCTTGATTCTCTTATGCTTCTTCTAATTGCTCCACCTTTTTTTCCTTTTCTTTAATAAAAAAACGGTTTAGACTTCATTTTTGTGGTTTAGCTTTTGCTAATTTTAACTAAAGACACATTGACGTCATTCACGTCGCTTTTGTCGCTTTACTTTGAGGTTCTAACTAAAATTTATCCTTCTTTTGAGGTGTTAATTAAAATTTATTCTTTTTTCTGAATTTCGATATTTTCCGAGTTAATTTATTTCAAACTTCAATTGCATAAAATTTTTCTTTCGCGTATTTTTCTATTTATTTCTTTTCTTTTGACATTTTTTTTATGGTCATTTGCAGTTTGAGCCCATATTTCAGAAAAACGAAAAAAAACAACCACTTCATGTAGCTTTCGGTTTTTAATTAATTTTTTTTTCTTTTTCCTTTCCTTTTTTTTTAATGAACTCTTTTATTGTATTGATAATTAATTATTTATGCTGGATATCGTAATGCATACTTCCTTGTAAATTTTAATATTCACAGTCAGCTAATGCTAGTCCTTTTTATTACCCTTGAGGGATAGTCTTCACAATTATTTTTTATTTATCCGTTTTATATTGAGCTCGAAAGCCCGTCCGAACTGCACCAGATGCCAAACAGTTCTCTCCGCTATCTTGAAATTAAAAAGCAGACAGACTTCTCATTCTTACTCAATTTCCCTCTTCTTCTTCTTGTTGCTCTCTCTATAACGGCTTGCCGCTACTCTCACAAGAGCAAGCATAGATCCCGCAAAATCGTACGATTTTGCCTATGCTTGCAAAAGCAAAAGGAAAAAAAGGAGTATCGCAAAATCATACGATTTTGCCTGTACTGTACAAGATCATGTGATTTATAAACAGTACTACAAAATCGCATGATTTTGTCTAACGGCATGCCGTTATTCCGATACTTGCGGTTGATACAGACCGACAGACACCCTACCCAAGGTTTGTTCGCGGCCGTTACAAATCTCTTTACCACGTTTTCCAACCTTTCCTTTAAAACCACTCTTTAGTTGAACCGAATTGTTTGTTTTTTTTCTTTACACGTTTGCTCAAAAATAATCCAATAACAGTTTCCTCAAACGTCGTAAATTTTCTAGTCGACAACCCGTTGAGTATATCACTGTCTCGGGAATCTTTCACTTTGGCATTTCTTGATCTACTTCATAGGCAGTTTTACTGATGCCTTGTTTCGGTTTCACACGAGTCCTTCTAGCGCCAGTAGTGATGAAAAAAACACAAATATTTTATTCTCACTGTTCATCGTTTTATTATAAATTTCATGTTGTTCATTGTTTTATTATAAATTTTGACAATTTTACAAAGCAACTTTCTCAGATTTCTCGACATTAGAACTTAGGAAATCTCTCTTAATGTTACTTAGTAGAACTAATATCGATACACATATATTAGTTATTTATTTCTACTTTTTAGTTACATTTTGTTTATCAATATTTTGGCATTTAACGCGATTATTTATATAAAAATCTGTTCATATCCATAGTAATATTTGTGTATGTTTAACTAGCAGGCCTTGATTTCTCTTTTCGTTTCTTATTTTGCAATATTAACAAGTTAGTATTCACTAGCAAAATTCCTTTTTAAAACAAACTCTTTCATTTCTCGAATTCACATGTTCATATGTGAGTAGCTTTTTTCGATTTTCTTTTCAGTCATTGCTCTGTTGTAAAATATTTTTACACATTTCTCTTTATGTGGCTAGTAGTATATAAGAATTATAATGTCTTAAATCTTAAATAATGTCTTCTTTGTCATTTTATTTAATTTTTCCTATCAAATACGTAATTCCTTTTATTTATCCCTTAGGAATTCATGTAATATCCCTTACGTTTACCGGTTCTTATTAACACATCCAGAAAAAATTAATGTTGCTTGTAGATATCGATCTTCCCATTCAACATAATAAGTTTAAGCTACACTTTAGCTCGAATCGTAATTAATTTAACCTTTTTTCTCTTCTTTCTTTTAATTTTTTTACTTTCGTCTTTTCTTTTTTTTTTTTCTTTAAATTAATCTATTTTTCTGACCGACATAACGAAACATATGCGAATGTTTTGACTTTTTTTTTTATTAACTATAAATTTCCTCAAGATAACTCAGAACCTTTCAGTTCAATTGTCAAAACCAGACTCTCTCTAGCTGACAAATCAAACAAAAACTAAAGCCTAATCTCTTTGCATGATTTCTTTTTTTTTTCTTTTCTTTTTTTCTCTTTTCCTTTTGCGTTGGCTACCTATCGCTTAGCCGCTATTCTTGCAAAAAAAAACAAACCGCAAAATCACGCGAATTTTCAATACCGGGATGCCGTCATTGCTACATTTACGGCAAACACAGACCGACTGACACCCTGCCCTAAATTTGTTCGCGGACGTTAGATCTTATAAAGCTCAGTCGATGCTTTCTTAATTCATTCCATTTTTTTATTTATTTTTTTTTCCTTCTTTTCTTTGGCGTCCTGCTCACAAGCTGTGACCTGACACCTGGTGTAAGTCCGTCAGTAAGGCACATCGTCTATATTGTCTGTTGTCCGTTGCTTCATTCTTGATCCGTTAGTCCGTATTCCCTGTCCCCATATCTCACGCAGCTCAGCGGTACTTACAGACTGCTTCTTTAAGCATCATACCTTTTCCTTTTTACAGGGTTTTTTTTTTTTCTTTTTATTATAAGGAAAAGATATTTTGGTTCAGGTTGATATAGTTTGTTATAAACTTAAAGGTGATCTTGATATTAATATATCTTCAATTTCTTTAGTATTATCGTTTTTATTGAGATTTCTCTTTCCTGCTTTGCATAGTTTTTCTTTTCCTAAGGTCAGTTAAGCGGAGAACAATTGAAGATAAACTCACATGATAATTGTTAAGTCTAAAAATTACGCATCTAAATAATAATTATTTCAAAACCATGGTCTTTCAATCGATTTCTTCACAAAGTCTGCATTTTATATAAATATATTGGCTTTTTTTTTTCTATATATATTTTTAGTAAATAAAATTTTCGTTTCGAGATTTTCTATCTATTTATATATACATACGCCTTTTTTTTCTGATTCATGTTGTTTCTCTTAGTATTTATGTTTCCTCTTTTCTTATCCCTTTGTACTCTTCTTATCCTGTTTTTTCTTTTCAGATGCACACTCAG